AAAAAAAAAAAGTACTAACAGTCAAGGGAAATACATAAGTAATCCCTCTGAAACTTGATAAAGTAGTTTGGATTTTTATTTCTGTCAATCCCACTTTTTATACAGCCCCACTAAAAACACAGTTTCATTTTAGACCAGCCCGTACATTTCAGGAATTTTACCTTCTCCAGCTAACCATGAAATACTGGAGTACAGCATTTCAGCGTGTTCTTTCTCCCACCTCAGCGGCTGTACGCCCCTCACCTCTTCTTCCCTCCTAAAGGGCACCCCTGCTGGCCCCTTCCTCCATCCGAACATGCTAGATGCTGCTGTCAGATTAAACACTGTCACATCCTAGGAAATTTAAGATTTGGGAAGAAACAGTAGGACTCCAGAAACTTTATTTGCACACAATTCAAATATAGTACTTTAGCTTTCTCTCACATGGCCCTGCCAATGAAATAGGGAATAAATTGGAAAAAGCAAAAACTTGATTCCTGTTTTTTAAACTCTCCTCAAGTGCTGCTAGTAAAGTCAGTAGTGAAAAAAGGTACAGGGAAACACAGCATTGAGGAGGTGGGCCGCAGTCTCACTGCCTGGAAAAGAGTATAATTCCCCAAGAGTGGATATGGGGCACACAGACTGCTCCAGAGAGCAGGTGCTCTCCAGAGTCCCAGCTGGTGCATCCTTTTCCTCCTGCACCTCAAAGCTGCTTTGCCCCTACTGCCTTGTGGGGAAGTCTTCACTGGACGCTGTGGCAAGATGACACTTCACGCTTGCTTAGCTTCATTTAGCTCCACCAGAATGTGTGGCCTGGCAGGTAGAACGAAAGGGACGTAAGGCCCAGGTATTTTTGTAAAACATTTGGGAAATGTTTTTCTCCACAGTAAGTTTAGTTAGAAATCTGCTGAGCACCTACTGTGTAAGATGCGCTCTCAGAATTTAGAAAAAAAAACCCATACAAATAATTTGATAAAAATAGAGTAAAAGAATCATACCCCGCCTGGGGTTGTCATTGACTTAACTATCAACAGTGAATCTTGATTTAGAGACACCACAAGGACAGAGGGCATGCCTGCATTTGCCTTTTCTTCGGATCACGTTACTCTAAATTCTTCTGTCCCCTTATTGATGCCAGTTAGTTTGAGGGAATTTAGTAAAAAGTTCATTCAAACCATTTCATTAATTCCCTACCCTTTGTCATTATATTTTACAGTGAGCATTACAATTTTTTAAATACATAAAAGTTGAGGCAAATATATTTCTGCTTTAAAAATTACCACAATCATATCTCTTACCTTATTTGTAAAATTAGAGGCTTCAAATATCATGTCCAACATCCTGAGAACAAATGATGAATCTGAATTCTACCTGTTTGCTGAGCGACAGGTGCCATCACCTGCACCGGTGAGACTTGCTGCTGTTCTGAATGAGCAGTGTCAGAGGAGCCTTGCAGTTCTTTCAGCTGTGCCTAACCACACTCCTTGGGCTACTTGCAGAGTTGAGGTCATCGACTCTGATTCTTTAAAGCCTTTTCCCCTCCATTAATGAAATCCTTCCTAAAACTGATAGGCAGAAGTAAGAATCCTTCCCTTTGCAGGGGTCTCCTTTTGGGGCTGCCTTATGGCAGAGAGGGATGGGCCTTCTGGAGCCTGGCCAGTGAGGTTATGAACACCAGGCTGCCCTCCCGAAGGGACTGGGTGCAGGAGGCTGCAGGAAGTCCAGAGTGCACAGCACTCTCCAGGATCCCCAAGGGCCATGGGAGCCACAGCCCTCAAGCTGTACAACTTCCTTTTCCTTGGGTGGTACAGGGAGCCAAGGTCAAGAGATTCCAGTAGAGTTAACAAAGGAAAAAATGTAAGTGAGCTTTTGGTCTTGTAATTGAACATATACTAACCATAAAACATTTTGTTCCATCTTGGCCAAAAGCAATGGGGCAATGTGACCCGGCAGATATTCTGTGCCTGCTCTTAAGAGCTACATCTGAAGAGCAGTGTGTGTGTGAAGGGAAGGAATGATTTGGTACTATTTTCTCAACCTGCCTTTTCCAAAAGTACTATTTGTGTAGTGTTTTGCTCAGTTAAACAATGTGAAACTCCAGAAAAAATGAGGTCAGTTTTTTCTTTTTTTGGTTTTGTTTACTTTTACAACTTTAAAGCAGAAGATTAAAATAAGCCTGTATTCCATTACCTTTTCTTTTAGGAACACATGATTCTATGCAGGTTTGCGGATCAGACAGCAGTCCAGCTTCCACCCCAACGGAGGCTCATAGGTGCGTGTTTTGACGGGGCAGCTGTTGCACAAACTGCACATGAATTGCCTGGGAGTGGGCAGATTGAGTCTAGCTGGGCAAAACTAGTCCATGAATCAACAAAAGATGGAAGTTTGCTCTGCTCAGGAAACTTACCCCAAACTGAAGAGAGCATTGTAGTTACAGTAGCATTTCATCCCATTTGGATTAATACCTTTCTATACGTTTTTAGTGTTTGCACGCTGAAGAGAATAGCTTTCTTACTGTTACAAACCATCTGCAGGATCTATCAAAAGGCACAAAAGAAGTTAATAAAGATGGAAAGTCCATTGTGCATGCCAAAATTAATTTACTAAAAAAGTATAAACAAGGCTGTTTTCTTTCTCAGAAAAAAAAATATTATTCATCAAGACAAATATACCCAACATTTGCAATATTAAGCACTACTTAAATTAGAAGACCACAGAAACATTTCAAATTTATGAAGTATTTGATTTATGAAAGACTTTAGAAAAAAAGAAATCACGTTTAGAAAAAGAATCAAACTGCCAGTGTACATGTAGACACTGAGTTACGTGCCCTCACCTAATACCAATAAATGTGCACAAAAGTGCTTATGGGGTGCATACCGTCACTTAACATTTTAATGATGAGAGGACCGAGACAAAAATGATGAGAGGACTAAGACCTTTACCTGAGGCTCTTCTTGTGGCAGATGATAGAGCCACACTATGAACCCACATTATCTGCTTCTAGACATGAAGTTCTTGTTGCCCTTGCAGTACTGCTTCTCAGCACACTGGAATCACCACTAGAAGTTGAAAACTCAGAGCTTAGGGTCAATAGGTAAAACCAAATGAATCCTCCAAATTACTCAGAGAAGCCCCACATTGGACCTTGTCCCTGTGTCTTCCAGAATCCCAGCTACCTGGTTATCATCCAGAGTGCACTGGAACGCAGACTTAGTTGGCTGGGCACAGGATAAGCATCAGCTTGCATTCAGAGCCACATTGCATGTGAAAGATTAACTTTGTACTTGCAAGGCAAAGTTAGCCTGACAAGATGCGCACACTTGGAGAGACATGCACACCCTGAGACAGGAAGCAGCGGTTCCCTCCTCGTCTCACACTCTGAGCTAGTGCTGCGAACCTTTGGTATAGCTCCACCAGACCCATGGCTCAGTCCACTTGTACTGCTGTAGCAGAAAACCACAGACTGAGTAATAGTAGATGGAAATTGATTTGGCTCACAATTCTGTAGGCCAGGGAATCTGAGGGGCAGCCTCTGCTGAGGGGCTTCTGACTGTCTTAACTTAGGAGAGAAAGGAGAAAGGGAGAGGGCGAGAACAGAGAATAGGCAGATGTGGGGGAATGTTCTCATGAGAAGGGGCAGACTTGTCCTATAAAGAGCCCACTCTCTTGATAATGAACCCACTTACGCAGTGCTCATGGCCCGCTTATCTCTCTTTGGGGTCCACTTCCAACACTTCATGGGGCTTGAGTTCCCAACACATGCTCTCTAGGGGACATATCCCAGCCTCACAGCTCAGTGAAGTCATAGTTAGTGTGGCAGATGGAGGTGTGAGTGTTCAGCATCGAGCCAGATAGCGGGGGCTGGAGGGGCAGGAGCCGCAGGTGAGCAGGAAGCAGGCGGGCAAGACTGCTGAAGAGAAGTGGGGATTGGTTCATTCAGAGCCACAGAGTCCATCAGATGTCTGCATCTCTGCTTCTCACTGCTGCTTCTATGTTCTATGAATACATTTGAGAAAGTCTCCCAGGCCTCCAAAGGTAGATTACTAATAGCTGAATTTCAGTTGTAATGACATTTAAGCATGTGAAAACACGAGTTCTCATACATAATGAAAAAGAAAAAGTAACCAGACTGGGATCAAAGCCAAGAGTAAATGAGCTGAAATATAAGCCCAGGGTGGGTCCTGACGGAATGTTGGGCATCCCACTCTGACGGAGAACGTTGCGATTGAAACTAAAAGGTAAGTGGGGGAAACGTTCACAGATATCCTGAAGGAGGACGACCTTTTGAGGGGAAAAGGAATGTCAGCCATACAGCTGTTGATAATGAGGAGGTGATTTTGCTTAAGTGGAATTCTAGACGACTTCTTTTATATCATGATTTCTAACACAGTTCATTCTTTATGGCACAGTTTTTTCAAGGATGTGTATAACATCAGAATTTTAAATCAGCCTGCCAGTTCTCACCTACTAAGTTCACCTTGCACAGTTGTTTTTTTTCCTATGAAGGTTCTTCCATAGAAGTTTTCTATTTCATTTATCTGCCTTCACTTCCAAAGGCATTTTAATATAGCAGCTTCACTGTTCCTCAAACAAGTTACCGTATTTAAAAATAATGTTGAGGGGCTGGGGATATAGCTCTCTTAATTGAACATATAGTAGCCATAAAACATTTTGTTCCATTTTGGCCAAAAGCAATGGGGCAACGTGACCCAGCAGATATTCTGTGCCTGCTCTTAAGAGCAGCGCAGCGTTGAGGTACTGAGTTGGATTCCCAGTACCCCCCCCAAATAATAATATTTAGGCATTATAATTATTGAGGGAAAATCAAATGAATGAGGTTCTGCATAGTCTGTAACCTTTTCCAAGAGGATGAAGAAACTTCAGGGTTGAATTTAGAGCAGTTGAAAGTATGGAAGTAGGCCGTGCCTCTACATACATTCAGCCCCAAATCTTTTTTTCCTAAGCTACTTTTCAAGTTTAATGCTCCTCTACATACATTCAGCCCCAAATCTTTTTTTCCTAAGCTACTTTTCAAGTTTGATGCTCGTGTTTGCCAAGAGAAAACAAAGTAACTGCTTTGCTTGCTAGTCAGGTTTCCTTTCATTTCTGAAAGATTGCAAAAGGTATAAAGCATCACTATTTTATAGGGATGGGGGAGGTCTGAAAAATTGAGTGTATTATACTCTGCATTACCTGTCTACTTGAAATAATCATCACACAATGTAGAATTTCCTCAGATATTTTCCATTTCTTGTTTCTTCATTGTCCAAACTCCAGGTGGAAAATATGTTTCAGATGACTCTTTGTCAGCAAGTTACTCTAGATATTGTCAAGGACAGACTTTTTCTTACAAGTTCATAAATGGTGTAATTTTATAGGACACAGAAGAGAGCTCTTTAAAGGGCTTTTTAACCAAAGTAGAAAATAGAATCTGTAGTTCTAATTTGAGATCTCCTTATAAATACAGTCAGAAAGGTTAGCATTCTTTGTGAGCACAGGTAAATCTGCAAAATGTTTTGTATTTGTGACCATGTTCCCTCCGTATTGATCAAGAGCTAAATTGAAAGCAACTGAACAGGACTTAGGGTCAGCAGCCTTTCCCCAACACTTGGGGATTTTGTCACCATAGACAGGCATCCTTAGGCAAACTGAAATTGCCCTCCTAGCGGAAGAGCGTCTCATGGTGCCATCTGCCTGTGTTTCAGGAAAGCAGTGCATGTGCCTGGTGGATTTGGACCGAGCAAGAGCTGCAGAAGAGCACGGCTACTCTGTCCAAGTGATATCCATGGAGCCGGAGAGCTGCTCTCCCAAAAATAACATGATCGTGGGAGTCCCTGTTTAGGATGTGATGCACACGTTTAGGTGCCTTGCCATTGACCTCAGTGAAAGCCTGGGGACGTCCAGGAGGCTCTTGGCGTAACCAGGAAGCGGCATTAGCCATCCTGAGCCTGCTGTGCTTAGGAAGGCAGCACCCAGAAAGTCCTGGGAGAAAGGCTACCTGCAGCGCATTATAAATGTCCTTACCTGGTGATTAGAGCTGCTGGTTTTCACACTGAGAACACCTCGAAATCTCAGCTGTCGAAAGAATAATGCCAGTGGAGGGCCAACTACTGGAATAGCAATTTCCTTCTCAATCCATAACATTTTCCTGGCCTTGCCAACATGATATTCAATTCCAGATAATATGCTTGCAGCCTTTATTTTATAATCACTGAGATAGACACATGTGGAAACTAAAACTAAACTCAGTGATAGTTTTATGTATTTTATATTTTTAATAATTGTACTTTTTCTATTATTTTTTTAAGTCCAGAAAGGTATAACATAGTTATTTTTAAGCTGGGGTTAGTTGAATTTTTGTATATCATTTAGTATACTTGTTTGAAGTTAAATTACCAAACAAGATCATCCTGTGTTCAGACACTTTGTATAAACAGATTATAATTTCAGTAATTTTCACCCTGTTGGGAACATGGAATTTGGACATCAGTTCTAACCAAATAGTAAATACACTGATTACTTAATTCAAATTTATAAAAGATAATTTGGAATCGCAGTATTTTTAAGACCCGAGCATACATTTTTTGAAGATACAAAACCTTATTTGAATAATTTGCCTACATTTCCTTTTTTACCAGCCAGCATTGTTAGAGGTAACATATCCTCTTTCACATGCTATTTACTTAACTTTACATGTCCTGAATCATTCCACTTAGGATTCTACTGGTTTTGATATCTCTTAATTCCTGTGACACGTGTCATAAGAAGATGAGGGTTTGTCCATCATCAAGGGTTTAAATACAAGAATGACTTATAGGGCAGCATGGGAGGGGGAGGGTTGTAGCTTTATCTCCTAACATTTAAGGAAGTTATCCATTAACCCTGAGAATTTTAGCCATTTGTGTCCATAGATACAACATGCTTTTTTTCCTGGACTTTTTTTTTTAATTGAGATATAATTTATGTACAACATAACACATTTTTAAGCATTTCATTTGAAAGCTTTTGGTAGCTGTATATACCAACACAATAACCACCAAAATAAAATACATAATTATATTATATATTGTAAGATACATGTGCTGAGAATATTTTCCCAGCTTGTGACTTATACTTATTTTCACAATGAATGTTCTGATTTTGATGAAATTTATCTTCTTTTATGGTACCTATTTTCTGTGCCCTTTCTAATAAATCTACCTAATCCTAAAGTTAAGGAGATTTCTTTTTTTTTTTTTTATTGTAAAACTTTATGGCTCTACCTTTTTATAATTAGGTCTCTGATCTATCTCAAATCATTATTCACATATGGAGGTAGGCATATTTTAAAGGATATATAGTTACTTCAGCATTATTGTTTAAAAAAATACTTTCCTCCATCCATTGATTGACTTGCTACCACAGGTAAAAATCAGTGGTTGTTGTTATAAGTCTAAATTCCTAACTTCTCTGGTCTATTCCATTAATCTGTCTGTCTTGATGATGAAGACTTTATAGTAAATCTGAAAATCTGGCAGTTTGTCTTCCAGTTTTCATTTTTCATTCTCTAGATTATTTTGGCTGTGGTAGACTCATTGTATTTTTACATAAACCTTAGAATTAGCTTTTAATTCTCCCTCCTCAAGAGAAAAACCCCTGCTGGGATTTTTAATATTTTCACTGTAGATCAATTTGGGAAAACTGAGCATCTTAACCGTATTGGATTTTCTAACCTTAAATGTAATGTGTCTTTCCATGTATTTAGGTCTCCTGTAATTAATTTCAGCAGTGTTCTGTGATTTTCAGTGTTGAGGGTTTATTTCATTTATTATTTAGTGGTGTATGTGCTGTTAACCCTGAGCCTATTTCCTTGTGGTTCCCAATACGCAGAGCAGCCTGTGAGTATCATAGTTGAGCAGGGGAGAAAAGAAGGACCTTGTGCTCCATCTAGAATCTCCCACTTGCTGGGCTGCACTAGGAATCCATAGGGTGCTATGCTTGCTCTGGGATCTTGACTTTTTTGTGTAGATCTCTCTCAAGCCTCCTCCCAGCCAGAGCAAATAAAAGGGGCTGTGTGCAGGCAGCGGGAAGGTTGTTGTGTGGACAGGAATCTCAGCGTGTGACCTGAGCTCACCCCAGCCTTTCTTTCCATCAGAGGCAGACTGTGTCCCTTGCAAGGGGCGTAATTGTGTTAGAAACCAGGTTCTTCTTTCCTTTCCTTGAGACTGACTCAGAACCAGGGACATGATTATCAATGGCTAAAGTACTTTATATCTTATTTAGAGAGACAAATTTCAGTTATGTTGGAAATTGAAACAGTTTCGGGGCACACACATAAATAATTAAATATCTAGTCTCATGCTAAAGATATTTGCTGCAGGCATTGCCCACTTCATGGTTCAGAAAATTGCTGCTACTAGAATTGCACATACTGAAATCAGCATTTCTGTTGATTTTCATAAGGAAATTCTAGATATGTGCCTCAGAATTTATCACAGTGAAGAAATCATAACAAGGAAGCAATACATTTTAAAGTTAAAATCTTTTAAAAACTAGCAAAATGCTTTCGAATTTGGGGATCAAATTTTTTTGATTACTCAAAAAATGTTTATCGTAGAACAGGGAGAAGATGTGGCTAAGCAAAAAGACAAAATGTAAATCTTGCCAAACAAAAAGAAGACAAAAAATTAATTCAGCGTGTTAACACTTTGTTGTGCACCTTCCTAGCCTTTGTCTTTTTTCTTGTTTGGTCTGTTTTCCTGTATTTTCTGAGTATTAAACCCAGGGCCTCATACATGATAGGCAAGTGCTCTACCTAACTGCATCCTGAGCCCCATTAACCTTTGTTTTACTCTCATACACTTACAGATATCTCTATTTAACAAACACTAATAGTATCAAACTTAATATTTGCTACACACTATTCTAAGCCCTTTACAAATAACAATTCATTTAATCTTTTAAGTCATTTCATCCTCACAGTGACCAAACAAGCCAGATACCATAATTCCATTTTATAGAAACCAAGTCCAAGGTTCCAAGGTAAAAGCAGACCTGGATTTGAGCACAGTAACTGGCAGAGATAATATTCCAATTTAAGCTCTTAGGCAATGCTATCAGTCAGGACTGCTTGGGATAAACTAGGATAGCAATATCTCGGTGCATTTACAAAAGAAAGATGGATTTTTTCACTCATGAACTACATGTCATCTATATTTCTATAATTATTCCATATTATCACTGCACCAAGACCCAGCCTGATGTAGCATTCTCTATAGAAGTACAGCTGGTCTCGTTGTAAGGCAAAATGGGCTGGCAGACTACCAGCGGCTGTTAAAGATTCAGCCCAGATGTGATGCACATCACCTTCCCAGCTGTGTTGACTAGATAAGGTGGCACACAGCTCTGAGTTTAAAGGGAACAGGGAGGCCTTATCCAGTAATACAGTGTCCCACCAGCAGTGCAGTTGAAGGAGAAGGGAGGAGGGAAGGAGCAAAGGCAGAAAGGAAAAGAAAGATAGACCATATTCCAGCTTAGACAGAGATCCTGAGCACCACAGGCTTGTGCAGAGCTTTCTACTGAGTCCATCAACACGAAGGAGGGCATGTGCCACAAGCATTTCCTGTTACTGCTCTGGGTTTTCACAGTTACTCTTGGAAAGCAGTTTTCCCCAAAAAACAGCCAGAGGAGTCGTTTCTTGTTACAGAAGGATGGAGAAACATCAAATGGTGTTTCAAATTTGTAAATTCTGCCTCAAATATTAAAGTGCTTGATCCACAGTGCTGAACAGTCATTTCCAAAGGTGTGAGTTCACACCGCCCTAGGGATACATCAGTATTTCTTTCTCTAAACTCTTAGTCAACACAGGAACTAGCAGATTAAAAGAACTTGGCCAACTTGATCGGCAAAAACTATTTTGCTTTTGATTTTCATTTTTTAAATTATATGGTTTAATACTTTTTCATATGTTTATTGGCCATTTATATTCTGAGTCACCTGTTCATTTAATCAACAAACTGATAGAACTTTGAGACCAAACATTGTGTTTATGTTCTTTGCTTATATTTCATTGTATATGTTCATCTTTTACATAAATTAGTAAAGGTTTATGTACAGATAAGAGCATGTTAATTGCATTTTTAAGTAGATTTTTGTTTGTGTTTTGTTGCTATAAATTTCAAAATATACATGTGCTTATATATGTCACTTTTCCTTGTGGTTTCTGCTTAGAAATTTTTTTTCTACCCACTGGTTTTTTGTTTGTTTTTTGAGACAGTCTCATGTAACTCAGGCTGACTTGGAACTCACTATGTAGCTGGCCTTGAACTCATGGCAGTCCTCCTTCCTCAGCCTCCTGAATGCTGAGATTACAGGTGTGTACCACCACACCGGGATTCCATTGATTTTTAAAACTCATATTTTTGATGTTATACTTTCTAAAAGTTTTCACTTTTCCCATTTAAATCTTTAAACCAGCAAGAGTTTTTTGGTGAGTGGTTTGAGGTATAAGTCTAATACTAGTTTTAGTGTTATTCATTACCTTCCAGAAGACCAGTTTAAAAAGCTGACTTCTTCCTATTGATACTTTCATCATATACTAAGTATATACTTAGCTCTTCATTTTTACTCTGTTCTTCTGTCTGAACTACACTCATTTACTGCAACTTCATATTACACTAAATGTATTCATTAAATATTAAATCAGAATTTATATTAAATTTTGTTAACTGGTGAGCTTTTTAAAATTTTGTTAACTGGTAATAGTTTCTTTGTCTTTTTTAAAATTAATTTTATTGGTACATTTTTGTTATATCTAATAATCATATCTACCATAGGGAATTTGTATCTGTACATAATATATAATTGACTCTTATTTTTCCCCATTTCTCTCCCCTGCCATTAACATTTCTCCCCCTCTTTATTTACAAAAGCTTTGTTTCTATTTTTTTTTGTTTTGTTCACTCACTTTTCCTTTTCCCTTCCTTCTCCCCCACACTTCTTCCCCTTTCCCTTTGAACATGTTCTTCCTACTTCGCAACATCTGTCATCCATTATGGTCCTTATTTACACTTTGGGAGAAATAATGCAATATTGAAACAATATTGAAATAATGAAATATTGAAAAGGTATCAAATTTATTTCACTTAAAAGGATGATCTCAAGGATACTAAAAAATGTCTGGTTTATCCTTCTTTATGGGAAACTACTGCACCATTGTATATAAAAACCACATTTACTTTATCCATTCATCTGTTAATGAGCATCTAGGCTATTTCCAAGATTTAGCTATTTGCAGATTGTGCTGCTGTAGACATGGATGTGCATATATGGCTGTGGTCTGTTGCTTTTGACTCTTTCTGGAAGATATTAAGAGGTCAAATGGAATCTATAGTTTTAGTTTTTTGAGGAATTTCCATACTGATTTCTACAGCAAAAGCAATCCTGGGCAACAAAGGAAAGGCAGGAGGCATCACAATCCCTGAGATGAAATTAAACTACAAAGCTACTGTGATAAAATCAGCATAGTACCAGCAAAAAAAAACAGACATAAAGATCAGTGGAACAGATGAAAACATACACAACTACAAACACACTCAGGCACCTTATCTTTGACAAAGGGAACAAACATGTTCACTGGAAGAAAAATAGCCTCTTTAATAAATGGTGCTGGAAAAACTGGCTTTCCACAAGCCAAAGACTAAAACTAGCCCCATGTCTGTCACCATGCACTAAAGTCAAAATGGATCAAGATCTGAATATTAAGACAGAAAAACTAAATCTACTGGAAGAGAAAGTAGGTAGAAATCTGGAAGACAAGAGTAGGCAGACAGTTCATGAACAAAAACCAAACTGCACAGGAAATGCTTCAAAGAAACAACTAGAATCTCATTTTATTGAAAAGGTTTTAAAGAAAAAGTTTTTTCACATCAAAAGAAATCACCAACAGGTTAAAAAGAAAACTCACGAACTGGGAAAATTTTAGCCAACTGCCCTTCAGAGGTCTTCTATCTAGAATATATAAAGAAGAAAAAAAAAATCAAGCCCCAAAAATTCAAAGACCCAATCCAAAAATGGACATCTGAGATGAATGCATGCTTCTGAGATGAAGAAATACAAATGACAAATAAATATATGAAAAAATGTTCAACATCATTTCAACATTTCAAAAAATGTTCAACATCATTGGTCAAAAAATGTTCAACATCATTGGTCATTCGAGAAATGCAAATTAAAAGA